AGAGGCCCAGTGGCCCAGTGTTCCAGCCCAGTTGGCAAGCTGCTGGCAAATCTAAGGGCCCCGGCAAGGCCCTGACCCACAGTGGGCTCCTGTTGCTATGTGACTGGGCTGGGGCTGCGTCTTGTTCTCCAGGGTCTCCCCACCACCGTGGCCCAAGGGGCTGGCGACAAAAGAAGGACTGCAGTCGAGGCTGCGGGGGCAGCAGCATCTCAGAGACCACAGGCCGTGGGCAGAGAAGGCCTGGAAGCAGGCGAGGGCATGGGCATGGGCCTGCGGACCCAGGCACCATGGAGCAGGCCATGCCTTCCCTGCCAGCCTCATGCCTCCTGGCCCAGGCGGCCATCGCCTGTGGCAATGCCAAGATGAAACACATCCCTGCCCTGACCGACCCTGGCCTGACCACGCTCTACCTGGCAGGTGAGTGGTCTTCTTCCCCAGACTCACCCCTGCAGCAGGGGTGAGGCAGCCACACCTCCAGGCTACTCTGCTAGTGGGTCCTCAGCCAGTGTAGCCACCACCCCGCTGTGCTCACTTTCCCATGGGTCCTGGTCAGGAGCGAGAAGATGCTCTGACCTGGGGCAGCAGAGGAGCCAGCTCCTTTGAGTGTGTCTTTGCTGCCTCTGCCGGAGTGGGGGAGGTACGGAGTGGCAGACGGGAGGGGGACAAGGACACATGGAACATGGCTGCCCTGTGTGTGTGCAGAGAATGAAATTGCCAAGATCCCGGCCCACACGTTCCTGGGACTACCCAACCTGGAGTGGCTGGACCTGAGCAAGAACAGGCTGGATGCCCGAGGCCTGCACCCTGGTGCCTTTAAGGTGCGCAGCAGCCCCGCTGCCTGCTCTCCCAGGGGCCTGGGCAGCCACAAATGGCCCCAGGCATCCATGGCTCCTCTCCCGCCCCTGCCTGGGGGATAAGGCCCAGAGGAAGCACGGAGTGCCCAGCACGGCGGGCTTGGATGATGTGGGGTGACACAGTCCATAGCTGGGAGTGTGGAGAGCAGCACAAATTTGTGGGCTCCATGAGGGAACAGCACCTCTGGGAGACACTAAGGGGGGTTCTGGAAACCCAGAGAGGCCTGATCTAAGCAGGAACTAGGAAGCCGTGATGCAACCCATTAGGGGTGCCCCTGGGTGGGCTAAGCCCAAAACCACACCCAGCAGGCCTAGACCTGGCCCACAGAGAACACCAGCCCCCAGCCCCTTCTTCTCCCCGACCCACTTGCAGAATCTGACGCGGCTGAAGCGGCTGAACCTGGATGGAAACCAGCTGTCCACGGTGCCGGCCCTGCCCGCCTCCCTGCAGGAGCTCAAGCTCAATGACAACCACCTGCAGGGCCTGCAGCACAGCAGCTTCCGGGGTGCGGGCAGCCCCAGGGGCAGGGAACAAAGGGCTGAGGCCTGGGCAGCCATGGAAACCTTGGAAAGCTGTGGGAGGGCGAGGGGAGGGTCTGCCCAGGGCAGCCTGGCTGGAGGGCAGAGGAGGGAGCAGCAGCAGGCAGCTCCCAGTGGCTCCACGGTTGGCTCAGGCCCCGCCCACCCTGCAGGGCTCAGCAAGCTGCTAACACTGGAGGTGGAAGGGAACCAGCTGCATGATGGGAACATCTCCCCCCTCGCTTTCCGGACCTTGGACAACTTACTGTACCTGAGGCTGGACCGGAACCGGCTGCGGACCATCCCACCCGGCCTACCAGCCTCCCTGCAGGTGAGATGCGGGCCCCGAGTCTGGGACAGGCAGTATTGTGGCCAAATGACCAGAGCATGTGCTGCTGGCTAGTAGGGCTGCCCATGTGGGTATTTTTTTTTAATTTAAATATATTTTTATTGATTTCAGAGAGGAAGGGAGCAGGAGAGAGAGAGACAGAAACATCAGTGATGAGAGAGAATCATTGATCGGCTGCCTCCTGCACACCCCCTAATGGAGATCAAGCCCACAACCTGGACATGTGGAATCAATCCTGGGACCTTTCAATCCACAGGCCAACACTCTATCCATAGAGCCAAACTAGCTAGGGCCCATGGGGGGGAATTTTGATGATAAACCCACAAGGCCTCAGCGCCAAAGGCCTCCCCTCCCCCTGACCCCACTTTCCAAGAGCCCAGAGTTGGGCCTCAAGGACTTTCCTGGACCCACTGGCTGTCCCTGAGCCAGGTCCTTGCCCACTCTGGGCCACATGGTCCCCTGTGCTTGGCGGTACTCTCTGCGGCTGTGTCTTGTGGGACCCTGAGGAGTCATGGCATCACTGGCAGATGTCGCTGGGACCCTTTGCACAGGTGACTATGGCCCTGAGAGGACCAGAGACTGTGGCATCCGAGTACCACAGAAGGGGTCGGGAGGGGGCAGGGAGCAGGGCCAGGCCCCCAGGGAGCAAGCCCCTCACCCCGCGCCTTGGCTCTAGGAGCTGCACCTGGGTGCCAACGT